CCATTAGATTCTGTGTCTTTAGCTGTCAGCTGATCATCCTTAAGTTGTTTACAAGACCTAAAATAATGTAGGAAAAAGTTCTCAGACTGTGTGATGTGGTATGACTCTGCATTAAATAGGGTGTTTAAACAGAATGAATCATAAGTGTAACTTAAACTAAGAGAAGAGACTCATGAAAACTGATTCAATACCAGAAAAAAAAGATTCACTGGCTTTTGAGATTCACTGCCTTTTCTTTAATCGAATAAAACCCATTTGCCTTTAACATCAAAACTTTTTGGATATGATACTTAAACATCAGTCCCAATCCACTCCATTTTTCTTGACAGATTTTATTATTTTACTATACTTAAATCGTGGTGATGACTAAAGAAGGAAACCAAAGAGAAGCTGCTGCTCCCTCTTTTTCTTTTGATAAAAAATTTTCCCAACACAACTCCCAAAATATAAAAGTCCAGGAACAGACAGTTTTGCAGATGTGTTCTACCAGACATTTAAAGAATAAAACCTATTGGCTTCACATTACTCCAAAAAATTGAAGAAGAGGGAATGCTTCCCAACTAATTCTATGAGGCCAGTATTACTGATACCAAAAACAAAGCCTATAAAAAAGAAAATTTCAGGCTGATATCCCTGAAGAACATAGATGCAAAAATCCTCAACAAAATATTACCAAACAGAATTCAACAATGCATTAAAAGGATCATCGACCATGATCAAATGAGATTTATTACAGGGATGCAAGGATTGTTCAATATTTGCAAATCAATCGAGGTGCTATATCACGTCAACAAAACAAAAGATAATAATCACATGATCATCTCAATAGAAGCAGGAAAAGCATTTGACATAATTCAACATTCATTTATGATAAAAACACTCAACAAAATGGATACAGAGGAAACATACTTCAATATCGTAAAGGCCATATATGACAAATACACAATAACATACTAAATGGTGAAAAGCTGAAAGCTTTTCCTCTAAACTCAGGAATATGACAAAGATGCTCACTCTCACCACTTTTGTTTAATATAGTATTAGGAGACTTAGTCACAGCAATCAGACAAGAAAAAGAAATAAAAGGCATCCAAATAGGAAAGAATAAAGTAAAATTATCACTATTTACAGATGACATGATTATATGTATACATGAGTAAATATTTTTCCAAAAAAGACATGTAGATAGCCAAGAGGTACATGAAAAATGCTCAACATTACCAATCACCTGGGTTATGCAAATCAAAGCCACAATGAGATATCACCTTACACCTCACAAACTGGCTATTATCAAAAAGACAACAAATAACAAGTGTTCGCAAGGATATAAAGAAAATGAAACCCTTGGTAGGATTATATGTTGGTATAGCCACTAAGGAAAACAGTATAAAGTTTCCTCAAAAAATTAAAAACGGAACTACCAAATGATACAGCTATTACACATCTGGGTATCTAACCAAAGAAAATAAAAATAATAATTCAAAAAGTTCAAAAAGATATACACGCCCCCCCCATGTTCATTGCAGCATTGTTTACAATAACCTAGATACAGAAATAACTTACGTGTCCATTGATACAAGAATGGCTAAAGAAGATATGGTATGGTATATGTATACAATGGAATATTACTTGGTCATAAAAAAAAGAATGAAATCTTGCCATTTGAGAAAACATGGATGGACCTAGAGAGTATTATGCTAAGTGAAATAAGTCAGAGAAAGAAAAATACTATATGATTTCACTTACCTATGGAATCATAGAAACAAATGAACAAACAAAACAAAATAGGAACAGACTCATAGACATAGAGACTAAATGATGGTTGCTGCAGGGAAAGGAGGTAGCAGGAAGGGCCAAAAAGGTGAAGGGGTATAAGAGGTACAAATTTCATTATATAATCAACAAGTCATGGAGATGTATTATAGGGAGTACAGTCAATAATATCATAATAACCTTGTCTGGTGTCAATAGTTACTAGACTTATTGTGCTGATCACTTATATAAATGCTGAATACTATGTCGTATACCTGAAACTAATGTAATTTTGTTTGTTAACCATATTTTACTAAAAAATGAATATTCCCCACCCACCTCCAATATAGCTTTCATGAATAACGTTTATTCTCTAATACTAGGATGTCAAGGATTAAAGAATCCATCAAGATAATCTTCTCCTGCAACTTTTGGTCATAGCAGTGACATAGTTTCATTCCTTTCCTAAATAACTAGTGGAGGCTAAAAGAGGACAGATTTATTGGATTACAGAGCTTAGGGAAGCAATACAGACTGCCTCCTATGTCCATGATCATCCTTTCTGTTTCCTTTGCAACCTACCTATCTCGTCCTACTCCTTAAATTTTGGGAAAGACTTATTTCTTCTCATTTACTCACTCTTCTTAAGAAACTCCTTTATACCTACATGAAGATTTGATATCTTCATCCTATCTCCTGAGCACCAGAACTTCAGATGCAACTGCCTATATCCACAGGGACTTCATGTTCAGCCAACCCACAATTAGACTCAATGGGTTCCTTTTCAAAAGCTATCCCTGGAGTATTTTCCATCTTTGTAAATGTAACCCTGTTCACCCAGGTGCTCAAATCAGAAACTCAATGGCTATCCTAAAAGCCTCCAACAAATAAAAGGTCATTTTATCTTCTCATCCATCCTGACCAGCCAAGACGCATCCCTGGAGAAGGGAAAACCTGAAATTCATGTGATTAGTTTGCAGTCATTTCAGTGGAATGTGGCTCTAAACAGAAATAAAACTGACTAATAGAAATATAAAGTCATATATTTTTTAAAAACGATATTTTGAAATTATTCCAAACCTACAAACAGTTGCAAGAACAGTATAAAGACGTCACTCATCCCATTTACCCAGATTCTGTATGTGTTCTGTCGGCCTTTCTTACTATATGTAGATATTATCTAACAATATCAGATTGACCTGCAGTTATGATGCCCCAACATCCCTAAATATTCCAGTGTTTACCTCCCCAAAACAAGGATACTTTCCCAGGGGACCTCTCCACTAGTCTACGAATCAGGAAATCAACAGTGATGCAATACTACCATCCAATCCACAGTCACCATTTAAAGACCACCAATTCCCCCAACAATGATGCTTTTACGTTTGTGATCTAGAAACCTATGGTGCATTTAGTCATCACGTCTCTTCAGTATCATTCAGTCTGGACCAATTCTTTAGTATTTCCCTGTGTCTAATAGCTTTGATGATCTTCAACATGAGTTCAAATGATGTTTTCTCCTTGACCACACTCAGGCCATTCATTCTTGAGAGAAATAGCATAGACATGATGCTTTGCTCTTCCCAATTCATGATGATGAAGGCGCATATCCCTGATCATGTTAATTCTGACCACTTAGTCAAGTTGGGGTGCACCAGGCATCTCCATTTTCCCTTTGTAACTAATTAGTTCTCTGTGAGGAGAAAGTCTGATATTACACTACTCTACTGTTACATATCAAGACTCGTAACCATTAGCAACCACTGATGACTTCCACCTGAATCATTCACCAGTCTATAAGGGTTGTCAAATGGGTGATTTTCTATTTCCATCATTCCATTTTCATTTATGAGTTGTCACTGTATTTTAAGCAAGAGCTTTTTTCCTTTGTTTAGTCATTTATTTATTATTTATTTCTTTATAGTATATGGAATTTTTATTTTTTAGTTTATTATAGGTAGACTTAACAAATTCCTATTTTACTCTGTGGGCCAGTAATCCATTGCTCTCATTATTCATTTTGGCACAAACTGTCGTAGCTTTGGCCCTTTTAAGCTGAATCCTATACCTTTTTTCATTTTCTTACTCTCTGGCAGATTGTTTTTGCCTCACTCCAGTCCTGGAATCAGCCATTTCCGAGAATCTCTGGTTTTAATGGAGGATGGTATTCAGAAACCCAGATCTGGGGACTCGATGTGCTATTGGGATGGCATTACTCAAGGACCTCTAAGAAAATAAAATAAGAAAGACATGTATGTATATTCATACATCTACATATACATGTCTCTGTATATTTCTATAAGTATCTAAGTATTGCAGGAAAAAAAAAGTTCATACTGTCTTTTATTTAAATTTCCCTGAAGATATTTTCTCTCCTCTCTGTTCATGTTTGTACAATCCCTTCCCTGACAGCGAGAAATCCGCTCCCTTTATCTTCTTTCTCCTTCTCCACGGGTGCAAACACACACACAGACACACATACGCACACACACGCGCGCACACACACACACAGACGCGCACACACACAGACACACACACAGACACACACAGACACATACACACACAGACGCACACACATAGACACATACACACAGACACACACACACACGCACACACACACACAGACGCATACACACACAGACACACACACTTGCTCAATTTCCTATTTCGTTTATTAACGCATCTCCCAACCACACTGGCTGCCCCTGCACCCGTCAGCTCTGTGTATTCCCCACTCACCCAGCTCCCCTGGCTCCCAGCTCCCCTGCTGATGCCTCCACGTGCCACCTTTGCCCCTTTGCTGGCCACAGCAGTTGATCCTCCAGGTCGAGAATATATTTCTTACACACTTGATTTTTATGACCACTTATATGTTCTTTTCAAAGTATTACCTGTCTGAAACTATCTAAGTCAAGTCTCAGTTAGAACAATATCTTCATCCTGAATCCCTCTTAGATCCTCCATGTGGAAATAGCTCCTTCCTATGTTTTTCTTTCCCAGGCCCGCCTCTGCCCTGAGGGCATTAGGTCTTTATCGACACTTCTTGCCTGCTTCTTTACAGCAGCTGTTTCTTCTGAAGGGTACTGGATGGAATTCGATGAGTTCCTCTTTTAGCTCCACGTAATCTTTTTTTTTTTTTTTTAACGCCTATAGCACTTGGTATTCCTAGGTGGCCTCCCATCTAAGTACTAACCAGGCTTGACCCAGCTTAGCTTCTGAGATCAAATGGGATCGGGAATGTTCAGGATGGCATGGCCGTAGACGCCACATAATCTTTAAACAGATTTTTTTGATGACCTGGCTCATAATAAACACTATCATTGTATCTGCTCTTCCATTTTACTGTTGCCCTCGCTCGCTATCCATCACGTTTTCCGTGTATTTATGTCTGGTCTCCAAAAGCTGGCTTCATTTGGTAGATGCAAGTTTTGCCCCTGTTTCCCCCACATTTGGTCTAATTTTTTCCCGACTCCTATAACCATTCATTTTCATACTGTACAATAGACCAGCCCCTTCTAGGACTGCTATTAACTGCCTCTGCTATGGAATACATTGTTATGCAAACTCTCATATCAAACTGTAAGCTTCTCAAGGTCAAAACTTTTCTCCTTAATTTTCATATATTCTACAGAACATAAAGCTAAGCCTTCAACATGGTAAGTAAACAACAGATATTTTCTAAATTTGAATATGTGATAGACTAATTTTCTCTGATCATTTCTAAGATAATTCCACATCTGGTTTATTGATTTGTGGCTAAGATTTGGTTTAATGATTTATTTCCTATGTTATAACTTCACCCAATCTAATATGGTCCAGTGTAGTAGTGTGAGATAGTATTGTTCCAGGAAATTTCTTGAAAACAATGAGAAATAATGCATTTTTGCTATATTCAATGTATTTATTTGCCCTATATTTAGAATTTCCAAAAGGCTCAGATTAATATTAAAGTAGTTTGCTAGAGAAAGCCAAACTTAAAGAAAACGATTATTCATTTCTTTGGGGATTCTCGGTTTCCATAATTCTAGAGTATTTTCACCCGTTTGACAAATTAAAACACCATACATAGAATTTTTTTGGCCATTCACATGTTTTGCAGGCTATGGATCATTAAGAGGCTAGATTTATAATTCAGAGACATTTATTCTCACTAAACATTTTAAAATATAATTTGTAAAATACCAATTAATTTTTAAAATCACCATGTATTAATTAGCTAACTTACCACTGGACAACAGAAGACTAAAAAACTCTATGTACTTCATCTGTGGAACCTATAGGACAACTGTTGTTCAATTTTTTTTTCTTGTGGGTGTTATCTGCCAGCCTAGTAAGAGATATTAGGGATAACTTTATAGTTAGATTTTAATCTCTGTGTTCAACTGTTCTAATTCCTGTTTTTAAGGCATTTACCTTAATAAATGGATTATTTTTAAATTAAGTAAATAGTTCATTTTAAGAATTAAGGTTTTTTTTTAATTTTATCAAAAGTCAGGACTTTACCCAATTTTTGACTTTGTTGACTTTCTCAGTTTTAGCTTTCCTAGTGTACTTAAATTTTAGTTTCAGGCTCTTCTGGAAAGGGAGCTTTTTTAGATTTCGCATTCTTTCTGTGTCTGCCTGTCTGTCCGTCTGTCTCTCTCTCTCTCTGTCTCTCTCTGTCTCTCCTCCCAACCCCACAACTCCCCTTCTTCTAGCCAGTTTTCTTTGGGCTCTACTTGTCCCCTGAGACATCCATTATAGAACAAGGTCTTATACTGGTGGCTCATGTCACATGCTGCTAATGGGGCAAAAACAGATTCATGTAGGGAATGAACAGGTAGCTTCTCCTATGCCAAGCTAACAAGACTTTCCTTCCTCTGGCTTCTGAAAACTTAATATGAGCCACAACCCTGGGTGGGCAGCAATCACAGCTTCTCTGAGTTAATGATCCCTGATTCGGTCTAAGTTTGAAGGAGCAAGTGGTGTTGGGTTGTTTTTCTTTTTAAATTATAAAACAAACTTTTCTATTTGAGAATAGTTTTTAGATTTACCAAAAGAAAAAAAAAAAGTTGCTAAGAATGTACAGAAAATTCTCACATATCCCACATCTGATTTCCTCTATTATCGCATTTTAGATGCTATATTTGTAATAATTAATGATCCAATATCCATACATTACTACTAACTAAAGTCCATACTTCATCCAAATTTCCTTACTTTTTACCTAATGTCCTTGTTCTTTTCCAGGATTCTATCCAAGATACATTTTAATTAGCTGTGATGTCCTCTTAGACTCTATGTGGCAGTGACAGTTCATGGTGTCCTTCCACGCCACTTACCCTGCTGGAGTTAAGCTCTTGGCGGTCTCTGTTTCTGGACCAGAGCTCAAAAGGCCCACAGCTTAAATTCTTGTTTATTGCTATATATTTTTATCTCTTTTCTGGCCCTAGAGTTATTCATTTTGTTTACAAAAGAAGATATATATTCTTAATTGAAAAAGGTTAGCTATTGTTGTTTCAAGTATTTGAAACCTAAAATCATAGCTCCAACTGGAAAATCTCTAGTCTAAATTTTCAGTCGGTCACCAATATCTCTAGATTAATGTCCATTATCTCTCTATAATTCTCTCCTGCCTATTGCCTCTGTCTTAGTGTTAGCTCTTGTCACTCTTCACTAATATTATTTTGAAACTTTGCTTTTTTTATTTAACATTTACTGTGTGCTTACTCTATACTAATGTCTATTAAGCAATTTGTACATATTATCTCACATAAGCATTATTACAAAACTGAGTGGTATATGGTGGTATTCTCACTTTCCAAAAGAAAATCAGGTTAACTGACTTATTCAAAGTCACAGATCTACTCATAATAGCTGAGCTTGGATTCAAATCCAGGCCTATGTAATTCCAGGGCCAAAACTCTTAATACGACAAACTATCTATTTAGCTTTTATGCTACATGTCTAAAATATACATATACATATTAGGCGAGGCAACCCTTGGTTGACCTCACAGATTACAAAGACCCTATCTTCTTAGGATCCCTTATTTTTTTTATTTTTTACGCCTAGAGTACCTGGTCTTCCTAGGTGGTCTCCCATCCAAGTACTAACCAGGCCTAACCCTGCTTAGCTAAAGTATTTTTCTATCTCTAGACATATCCATTCCCCAACCCATTCTTGTTATGATACTTGAAACATCTCTCTATAAGGCAACCTTATCAAGGCACTCCCCAAAGCAAAACCCTTCAACAATTCCCAAGTGCAAATTACATAGTATAGCACACAAGGTCCCAATTATCTGGCTTTCATTTGTCTCAAGCTTCATCTACAAACACTGGCAGCTATCAGTGGTGAAGTCAGTCGATCGTTTGTTAAATGAATGTATAAGCATTCTTAAAACTGCCAATTGTATTGAGGTTTAGCAATGGTGGATGTGAAAAAGAAATTTGAGAGTATGGAAAGAGGAAATCATTATTTATATTCCTCTTTATCTAAATGCATCTTTTTGGCCATCTCCATCCCACCCCATTCACCCTATGTTTATTTATAAGAATGTTTCTCATATCACAGAGGTCTGTAATCTGAGAGAATTGTTTAAAGCAAGAAGTGAAACTCTGTAGCCGCAAGTAGCATACCAGATACCCATTTCTTTACTCAGAGCGAATATTATTCTGTTGCATCTGCTTTATCTTGACTTACTTGAAATGGTACTTAAAAAGACGTCAAAGACACTGAAACTAACTTTTTGGAAAATAAATTCTTATGAATTGGTCTACGAGACACTAAATAAACAGAGTCACAAAGTTCAGCTCTCTGTGGGCACTTATGACATTTCATCTCCAATATTGACAATAATTTTTGCCTCCAATGACTCAGAGAATTCTGACAGGAAATCGATATCCTTCCCACCCATGTATTAAAATCTAAGCAACAAAATAACGTCCAAGCACCCTGAATGTAAATCCCAGCAAAAAGATAATACTGTGATGCAGCAGGTAGGCAGGCGTGGTGTAGAGCCTACCGAGTCCTCTGACAATGGGCCATCTTCCATCCCCTCTTCCCCCAGGATACATCCATCTAAATCACTGAAGGCATTCATGCAATACTTTTAAGGCATTAGACTTCATTGTTTTCAAACGTACATGGTAACATGAAGTAGGTTAACCAATTGATAACAATTACTTTAAAACCGGTCCATTAAGTTCTCTTAGTAGGCATTTTTACTTACTAAAAAGCCATTAAGCTAATTTGCCGAACAGTAGTTTCTGTGTCC